GACATTGCATCCTACCAGTCTTCAATTGGCGAGTTAATGTGGCTGGCGCTTACAACAAGGCCAGACATATTGCATTCCGTTGCCAAGTTAGCTCAACGGAATCAAGATCCGCATGCAGAGCACCTAGTGGGTGTAAAACATGTGCTTCGATACCTGGCGTCAACTGTGGACCTGAAGTTGCACTACAAAGAGTGTGGACAACCCCTTACCGGCTATGTGGATGCAGACTGGGGTGGCGACCGCATCGATCGCAAGTCGTATACTGGCTATGTATACTACTTGGCTGGAGGACCCATATCCTGGCGATCTGAAAAGCAACGCAGCGTGGCACTTAGCAGCACGGAGGCGGAGTATATGGCTCTTTCAACTGCGTGTAAGGAGGCCATATACCTACGGCGTCTTATAGTGGAGATTGGCTGCGGTGACTCGAGTACTCCAACTATTCTTCATGGCGATAATTTAAGTGCTCAACAATTAGCTAAGAATCCTGTACACCATGAAAGAACAAAGCATATTGATATTAGATATCATTTTGCAAGACAGGTTGTAAACGAAGAACAAATTGTTTTACAGTATACATCAACCAATGAAATGATAGCTGATATTTTAACGAAAAATCTCCCTAAAGCGAAGCATGTTCATTTTACAAAGCTGTTAAATTTGATTTGAAAATTTTTGTAAAACATGTTTGCATTGAGGAAGGGTGTTGAAAATCAATACAAACATAAGTACCAATGCACGCATGTTAATATAAGCAGATAATAATCTTATGTTATCTACAAGTTATCTGTCACTGTTGCATACGAATGTAAGCATAAAGAATATGTATAGCAAAAGTGTCAGTCTCCAATAAAACTCTAAAGCGAACAGACGCACGGCGGTCCGCGACTATTGTCTTTTACTTTACTCCTACTGAGCCCTTCCCTTTTCAGCGAATATATAATCTATTCAATATAGTAAACACATTTGGCAAATGCATTTCCGAAAATTTCAACAAAATGTTGATTGTTGTTGCTGGCTTCATAAGTGATTTGCAAAGAATGAATATCTGAAATGTAACCTTTCGCTGGCCTGACGTTTAATACCCTAACAAAGTTGTTAAAAAGCATCCATGGACCATGGCCAATAACTATTGGCTCACGCTGTTGAAGACAGCCCCTCCCATTTCGTCTTTGGTGTAATCAAAGCTTTCACCAAAAAATCATCCATTGCAGCAACATTTTCTCCATCAAATTAGGATGACTCTTGAACTCTTAAATTAATTAAAAAATTTAATTTGTTTATTTTTAGGTGAATTTAAAAAACTAAATAAATAACTGTGGCATGATCTTGATATTACATTTGTAGTTTGATAATGGCTAAAACCCTGCATTGTGCCACCTTAAGGATTAAAAAAAAAATTACTTAAAAATTACTAAGATATGTGATCTGCAGTCTCGATAATTATAGTGATATAAAAAGTAGTAAATAACTAAATTGTTATTAGCCGTTTTGAAGGGTGGAAGGAACTCCGGATGAATAATTCCCTTCCAATTGTAGAAGAAAATTAACATACCCTGAGATATTTCCATTCTAGGATTGATTGAAAACACCATCTTCATCACCACAACATGCTGATGTCACAATATTGTGCAAGAAGTTTGGTGTTTTTTTTAATCCACTTACTGATGTCTTTCAAATGTTGAATTCTGAGCAATGTTTTATTATTAGTTTAATTATATGGAACAAGGCAAGCACACACCTTCCGCCGACCAAATTGTTCGGATGAAATGCGATGAATCGGATTGGAAATATTTACTTCCATTTTCACTAATTTCACATCAAATTTCTGCTACTAACTACAATGGCAGACGTACACTTTGTTTCAAATATTATTCATTACACATGAGTAATAAGTAATTTAATATGTTTTTAGTAAATTTAAATTGAATATGGAAATATTCATATTTTAGAAGCGACTCCCTTCATGACTTTCTAACTTTGCTGACACTTCAGAATTAAATAAGAAGATTCAAGAAAGTCTTAAAGCAAATCCTCTTATTCAATAATGCCGCTTCCATGGTTAAATATTTGAGCAGATTTAAGCTGTCAGAAGCTGCAACAAAATTAACCGCGATTTTAGGCGAATAGTTATTGCCAGATACATACAGCTCGATTTGAAATTGTTTATAATCTCTAAACATTTTGCGATCCATCGCTCAAAATACCCTTTCACTAGAAGTGAAGGGTATGAAAATGAAAGCCTGTTTGACCGGCAGCTGCGTCACTACATGAGTCGCACATCATTTCTAAAGCTGAATCATTCCCACAGTTATGAATGCATACTTTTATACTCGTCTATATTTTAATATTTACCTGTGTGTATATACAATATTGTATATGGTACCGGCATTCGCAAGCACATGTTTTTCCAAAAAAAAATTTTGGCGCTCGCATGTGGGAGTCACTTTTACACTAAAAACTCGAAATTGTTGTACGGTTTTTTTTCGTCTGCCTAGCCAAAATCATATGCGCTTAGTCATGCGTCCTATTTTTGTTTCAGATTTGTGGGCTTAGAAACACCTACTGGAATCTAAATCAATTGGTTTTCTGTTAAAAAAAAATATTTGTATTCAATTTGGCCAAAACTGGTGTTCCTGTTTATTTGTGTTTCTACCCTTTTAAAAGTATTGTAAGCAGATTGATAGTCTGGCGTTTGTTGCGGAAAAAATATAACACTTTGTGATTGTGTGTTTTTTTATTGGTTCGATTTTTCATTTGTAGGCTATAAAGTTATAGTTAAACCAACTTGAATCTATAAAAATATCAATTGAAAAGTTGTTCCTTATGCAGGGCTAACGCTAATATAATCATTTGTTTTAAAGCTAAAAAATGCATATTTCAGTTATTGAAGATTAACATATTATCTCGAATATAATTACCTACTTAAAAAGAGTTCTTTGTTAAACACGAGACTCGCAAACGTTTATTACAGCAAATAAAATAATTTAGCAACTAGGTAATTTCTGGGTAATGCCTTCAATAAAATAACATTGTTTCTCTTTTATAACATTCCCTGTTCCCGTTTGTAATTCAGAAAACGAAACAAAGCTGTTTGCAATATAAGCCAGGCTTTCAGTTTCTTAATATTGCAGTTATATTTTGTTTTTTATTTATTTATGTATCGCTAAAAGTAAATAAAATTACAGATTAATTTAGGTGAATCTATAGCGACGTAGTCTTAAGCTTATGTATTTATGGAGATATAAAGAGCTGATATTATATTATATGATCCATCCATATATTATATGATCATGTATTTAATTTGTTGCCGTAAGGAAATTTACAATCATTTTAAAAATTTTTCTGGAAGGACTAAAAAGAAGGGTAGTTGGGAAGTTTTTTTGTTAAGGTATTGGCAGTCAGATATAATTGCTTCATTGGTGTTTCAGAATTGGCAGATGCTTCATTTGTGTGTTATTGATTCCTCTGGGATGCTTAAATTGCTTGATTTACTGGACACAGACAGCCAAGTCGAATATTATTCTGTGCTTTATATCAATTGAGTTTTTATTCGTGTGATAATTGCATTAGAAACGGATCGAAATAAACAGGTGTAAAGAGTATGTATAGTTCGATATGGCGAATTTATCGAATACATTTGTTTTATTAGAGCATTTTTCATCACATACGAGTATATAGGTATGTACATAACTGGCCATCGGCCCGTTTATTTGTTTAAATGTTATGGCTGATTTTGAGTGGTTATTTATTTTACTACTTTAGTCGCATTTTAGAATTATTTGCAATGCGCAGAGGTGTGTTGGTTTCTTTGTTTGTTTGTGTGGGCTCGTGGGTGAATAAACTTCATGGTGCTTGAATTTATCGACATTTCATATAAAATAATAATAATAATAACACCACAACAACAAACGGCTCGGTTTTCTGTTGTTTATTTTAGAGGGAATCTCATTAGCGGAGAGGGTCATGCACTTTACTTTGCAGCTTAAACGGCAAAATTTGTTGGAGCATTTAAAATTCTATCATATGGAATGCATTTTATTTTGCGTTCATAAATTAGAATTTAATCCTGATCGTAAATCAAACGGTTATTAAAACTTTTTATTGCATTTTTTCCCCCCATTTTTGTGAATTTGTTGTGTTGTTGTGCCTTAAAGAGGCAACAAATTTATGGCAATGGGGCGTTGGACAATCAGATAAAAAAACAAAAAAAAAAGAAAACTGAACAACTGTGAATAAAAGGAAGCGCTGTAGCTTTGCGATCTAAAAGCATAAATCAAGTTCAATTCAATTAAAGCGTATTAAGCGCTACACTTTGCTATGCCTTTGACTGGCCTCATAACCTACGACAATTTATTAATTTTAGCTGTCGGCTGAAAAGCGATGCACACACACACACAAACGCACAGAGATATACATATATTTCGACATGGCCATTATATGTTAAGGTCAATGAGCATTTGAGAAATATACTTGAACAATTGAAAATTGTGGCAGTGCGTATAGTATATATTATCCATCTGTATGTATGTATTAAAAATGTTGTATGCGGAAGATATATGGCTTGGATATGTTTTCACAACTGTGAAGCACATTTTATTTGTTTTCGAAATATTTAACTTAAATCAATAGTATTAATTTTCTATTTGCAATTGCTGTGTTCTAAGCAGATCGCGAGGCAAATATTTAATCTTAATTTGTCCATAAATATGTACGAGTACATACATATAAGTATTTGCGATCAACCGAGATATATGTGTATATGTATTTGAATGCGATATATCTATCTGTTTTCAATGTTCAGCTGCTATGATTTTTTTCTTCGCGAGTGCTAAATATAAAAAAGAGCGTGGGCTGTCAACATTGAACGTGGCCAGTCCGTCGGTCCGTCTCACTTCTCTGTCCGCGTGACGCAATGGGGAAACTTTATGGGTTCCAAGAAATGTGAAAAAACTAAATTCAATATTACTATATATACTTGTATTCCCATCTTTTTGCAGTGCTAATCAACTAAAAAGTATCCAGCAAAAACAAGGAACTACACAACAAAAGTGACAAAATGCATGTGCCATTCTAAATCTCAAAAAGGAGAAATTTGGAGCAGTATCAATTAGTTTAGTGGAGTGCACGCCTGGATATCACTGCAACCTAACATACACTTATGTGGAATATATGGAATACATCTTAAGATATATACCATATATAGTACTATAATTAAGTAAGTACCATTGTTTTTTTTGCTTAAAAACTTAGAACTCAGAAATTGGAGTTTGGGAAAAACAAAATTTGCTTTGTAACAACTGTTTCTAGTTTTTAAGGAACGAAGAACCTTTTGTCTTAGTAAGGTTTAACCTCGACATTACTAAACCTGTTAATGTTCTTTTTTATGATAGAATTTTGATAAAAATGTATTGTTTGTTACGGTAAAGGCATGTTTACATTTTCTCGAGCGGTCTTAGGCCTTCAAGGTGGGAAGTTGTGTAAAATGTCACGTCCAAGAGAATTACCAATAAGGTTTTGTTATAAATATATATTTCTATTGCAAAATCGAATCGTACAGAATCAAAATTTATAAAAAAAATGCAGTTGTAGTTAACCATTTAAACCATTCACCTTGCACCCATTACTCAGTTCTAAGAATATAGAAAATAAAAATTCTTTTTATCACCGATTTTATGTAACTTTAACTAACAAGTTATTATTCTACAGATCTTAGACTAAACATAGCAAGTAAACGGGAAAACGATAATCAATCAACAATCACTACTATACATAAAACACATCACACAACATGGGAAAAGATTACTATAAAACGCTGGGTCTGCCAAAAACTGCCACCGATGATGAGATTAAGAAGGCCTACAGAAAGCTGGCACTGCGCTATCATCCGGACAAAAATAAAGCGGCAAATGCCGAAGAGAAATTCAAAGAGGTAGCCGAGGCATATGAAGTATTATCGGACAAGAACAAACGTGAGGTTTACGATAAGTATGGCGAGGATGGTCTCAAGAGTGGTGGTAAGTGCTATACAACAGATTATGATAAATATTACTCATACATTGTATATTTCAGGCACTCGTAATGGCACCGGCCCCAAAAATACATTTACATATCAGTTCCATGGCGACCCACGCGCCACATTTGCACAGTTCTTTGGCAGTAGCAATCCTTTCGCCTCGTTCTTCGATATGGGGGACAACCTGTTCGATAAGAATGTATTCGATTTGGATACGGAACCAGATTTCTTTTCATCCCCCTTTGGCGGTCTAGGGTCAAGGCATGGTCTGGGCAGTGCTTTTAGGTAAGTGATGCAATAGATTTTTGTTTGCTGCTCTCAGTTCGCTCACTAGGCGCAGGCCCTCTTTCAGATCACACTCCTTCAATGTGCATACACCGTTCAAGAAGGAGCAGAAACAAGATCCACCCGTTGAACACGATCTCTATGTCACCCTGGAGGAAATCTATCATGGCTGTGTTAAGAAAATGAAAATCTCACGTCGTGTGGTGCAAGCGGATGGCAGCTCCAAGAAGGAGGACAAATATGTGTCGATATCAATAAAGCCGGGCTGGAAATCGGGCACGAAGGTGACGTTTCAGAAGGAAGGCGATCAGGCACCCGGAAAAATACCAGCGGATATTGTGTTCATAATTAGGGACAAACCCCATGCCATGTTCAAGCGCGAAGGTAGCGACTTACGATATACGGCACGATTAACACTTAGGCAGGTGAGTTATTGGATGAACCCAGGTTGCCTTTTCATAACAAATAATTCGAGTATATAGCGGCAAGCTTCTGAGATACTAATTCAGTGACGAATGAGATTCAGACGCGTTTGGAACAGAAACCTTTAGTAAACAGCGGGCAGGTTTTTTTTTTTTCGATAGCTATATTTACAGTTTAAGCATGTTTCTTAATTATTATCTCTACTTTTTAATGCATTTTGCAACTTCTTATTAAGGTCTTCAACTATGGGTTTAACTACATAGGTGTTTTAGTGTACGAGCTTTTTATATATTAAAGCGGTGGATCGTCTTATTTTGGTTTTAACTCTTGACCAGACATCAAATTAATCTAATGCTGAGCAAATATGGGCGATCCATCTAGATTCTAGATTAATAATTGTATTTTGTTCTATGAGTGTTTAAATTTGTTTATGATATTTCCTCTTCATTCGTTGCAATATTAGAAAATAGGGGCTTTTAGTTTCGGGTCCATATTTTTATACCCTGTACCCGTAGGGTAAAAAGGGTATATTAGGTTTGTGCAAAGTATGTAACAGGCAAAGGGAAGCATCTCCGACCCCATAAAGTATATACAAGTATATTCTGAATCAGCATGACGAGAGAAGTCGATCTAGACATGTCCGTCCGTCTGTCCGTCCGTCCGTCTGCCTGGATGAACGCCTGGATTTCGGAAACGGCTGAACGTACATAAACCAAACTTGGTATGCAGACGTTCCTAGTCCCTAGTCTATACGAGTTTATTTTACTGTTATGAATTCCTTTTATGACTATAGCGTTCTCTCTTGTTTTTTCTATGATTGTTTAAATTTGTTTATAATATTTCCTCTTCATTCGTTGCAATATTAGAAAATAGGGGCTTTTAGTTACGGGTCCATATTTTTATTATTATTATCATTTCCAAACTATGCATTGACATTAAACAGATCCTTCGTAGCACATCGTTATTGTACGAGTTTTTACTACAGCTAGATGTGATAAACAGAAAGATCTCATATTTTAAAGCTATTAGCTATGACTGACATTATTTTAGATGCACTTAGTCTACACTTTTCTTATAATGAAAAGCAGTCTCGTTGTTGTTCAACAAGCTGCTAAGTATTTTCATATTTGCATGACAATAATTTCTATATAGACCGCAAAGTCTTTAATTGTAGTATGATTATCCGCTTAGAGTCGAATTATCCGTTTAATATGTGGCTGTAATTTTAAAGCCCACAACATTTAGTTTTTAATTTTAAAATACAGCTTACCTGTGTGGACTGATGTGGCTGTCAGCGCTTTAGTTCTCACAGTTAGATTGTCCAATCAAAGCTGTCTGCGCCTAAAAAAAATTTAAATGAAATAATTTTCAAATCCAAGCGTTATAGTTATGGTAAATTTACCATATACGCCGATATTGATACTCGCATACAGACATGGAAAAACATCGAGCCGGCCAATTTGGTCAACATGGTCAAGTTTCAATTAACGATGTTGGCAGCGTCTGACTGCACAGCAGTTGGTCGCTAAATTTAAAGCCTACACAGCCCGAAATAGCGCCCCCAGTCAACAACAACAAAAACCACAATAACAACAAAAACAACAACAACAACAGTGGGGTACACCACCACTTGGTAAGCCAGCCAGCCGTGTGACAATGTGACGCCGCGCTTTGGGGCAAGGTGTTAAATTTTTCACACATGCACACGGCCAAGTGGAAATGTTCGCATAGAAGCGAAAATTTTAAAATTATGGCGTGCATGGCCAAATATTCTCTAGAAATACATACCTACGCACATCATAACATATATAGTATACATAAGTATATAAATATACTCGTATGTATGGCGACTATTGACAATTACAAACACGTCAGTGCGCAGTCATGTTAAAATTGTTAATTGCATTAACTAGATTAAACAGTTTGGCCCAAAGGCAGTTGTTGTTGTTGTTGCTGCTACTGTTGTTGCTGTGAACGCAGCATGAGAATTTTTAACATTTTATTGCTTGTTAGCGCGACAAATTTAGTAAATATTTTTGGTGCTGTTTTAGCTTTTTATGCCCAGATCGAAGTTATGAATTCCATTTCTATCCAAAATTGGTGCGTCTCGTTTGGGTATAAGTGTCATGTCATGTTTCTAAATAGAAATATTTGACACGGTTTTAGTCGCCAGCTGTAATTATGATCACGCTGACAAACTATCTCAGTATGGCAATGACTTGAATATAATGATTTCGAAGTTGCAAAAGGGTGTACGAGTTCTATTATTCGTACTAGTGTAATTCAAGTGCAATATCAACTCAATAAAGCTTTACATTTGTTAAAGAATGATCGAAAGTACTTATGTCTTTTAAAAATAATAATTCTTGTAAATGGAATAGTTATAATAAATATTAGTTTAAAGCCGTCAAAAAGTTGCTTGACTTAATGTTCATGTTTTCTAAATCTTTGTCTAATATTTTAAACACTTCTTGTATCTCCAAATTTAAAACATGCCAGAGGGTTTATGAAATTGATTAGTATTTTTAAACTTTTTATAAAAGACAGATATTTTGATGGCTATTTTTTGAATTTTTATACATAAGTAATTTTGAAGTGTGACTTAGCTTCTGTTAAATTATGTAGAATGAGCTTAACATTCTATTAATATTGAATATATTGTTATACAAATTAAACTCGTTACATAATAGAAATTTTAAAAGCCTTTTTAATGACCTCAAAGTTCTTACAGCGCTTTTTTTTTTGATAAGCAAATTCAATTCTCCGAAAAGGTATTATTCTCACAATGCCAACACAGGTGGTTAAGGGGAGTGGTTGATGGTTAAAATGCGAAAAAAATAGATATTCATCGTCATTCAAAAGATGTGCTTTCAGAGTCACAATATATCGTTTAAAATGCAAAGAATCTTTGTAATGGGTATATTTTTTTTATAAATTCACGGTGTTTGTCGGTAATTAGATGTTCTTCGTCATTCAAATCATCATACGACCATTCTTAAATCCTGTATATCACTCGTGAATTTTTCCACGAGATAAACTATTATCAATATTAACTTTTTCCATAAATTAAAACGTTTCTTTTACCAAGTTTTAAATATATTTTCGATCGCCATTATTATAGGGTTACTTTAAAAAGAAGACAATTCCCTCCATCCAAATTTTTGCATGTTTTTGTCTTTGTTTATTTTATATTTTCATACATTAAGGCTAAGGAGTAGAGTGTCTACTATTTTGTTTGTAAAACAAATTCCTACAAGACTTATAAACTACATCTTGGATTTTTATGAAGCTCATACTATAATAGAAAAGATTCAAATTATTTATCCCTTATTCAAGGCTGTGTCTAATATTTTACACGTGATTGCAATCATTTGACAATTAAGTTCATTTTTTATGATCCCAATACTCATGCCGGTGGGTCGGCTCCGATATTTTATAAATTGTTTTGTCTTCTATTGCGTCCCATTTTTTGTATTCATAATTAATGAAATTTTCAAAATTCTGCTCACGCGTGTTATCCGCGTAGTACTTTTGTTCATTTTTCAGTTGCTGCTCGAATTTAAATTTGATTTTCGAACGCGGCACATAAACCAATTAAAATGCCATATATGTAGCGCACATATAATTGCCTACAATCATTTACATTACACAGCAGCGGAGGTTCAGCACTCTGTGTGTTTTATGTATTGTCGTGACATTAAATTTAATACACATCATAAATTACATCATCACGTAAGCCACAGCACGAGACACTCAGCATTCAGCATTCAGCACCCAGAGCTTCGAACACGAGTCATAAACAAGTTTGGCATATTTGATAAAGCAGTTTATAGATATGTATATGGTTATGGTTACAAATTTAACAACCAGACCATTAGAATACAGAGGCTGATCATAGTTTGTGTATAAACTTTTCCAATTCAATTGCCAAAAAAGGCAAAGGGAGCAGCAATCAATGCGCCAGTTCAAGTGTCTGCGACAAAAAATTCGCGAGTGCAGAGCTCCGTCGTCTGCTGCCTTGTAAGTTGAGTGATGAATGCTCAACAATGAACAATTGTTGTACATACTATAGAAAACGTAATAGAATACGCGAGTACTCCTAACTGATGGTCAGTCGTTGGGCGCAATTGTTGTTGTGGTCCAGTGCTTGTCGTCTGGCTGTTTGGCATTGCCAGTATCTGGCAGTATTTTGGGGTGGTGGTGCATAGAAATGCACAGCGAAACACAAAACACAAAACACTTTTGCCAACTTCGTTTGCATTTGATGACAGACATCGTCGCCCAACCCGATATAAAAAATTTCAAAACAAAAATGCCGTATGGCATGCGATTGAACATTGTTGATTTTGTTCGTTTGGCATTTTAAAAACATTCTCGCGCGTTTGAGTTTTGACTCGCGCCTTTGTTCGAAATGAAGCCCCTGCCGTCTCATATTTTAAAGCTATTAGCTATGACTGACATTATTTTAGATGCACTTAGTCTACACTTTTCTTATAATGAAAAGCAGTCTCGTTGTTGTTCAACAAGCTGCTAAGTATTTTCATATTTGCATGACAATAATTTCTATATAGACCGCAAAGTCTTTAATTGTAGTATGATTATCCGCTTAGAGTCGAATTATCCGTTTAATATGTGGCTGTAATTTTAAAGCCCACAACATTTAGTTTTTAATTTTAAAATACAGCTTACCTGTGTGGACTGATGTGGCTGTCAGCGCTTTAGTTCTCACAGTTAGATTGTCCAATCAAAGCTGTCTGCGCCTAAAAAAAATTTAAATGAAATAATTTTCAAATCCAAGCGTTATAGTTATGGTAAATTTACCATATACGCCGATATTGATACTCGCATACAGACATGGAAAAACATCGAGCCGGCCAATTTGGTCAACATGGTCAAGTTTCAATTAACGATGTTGGCAGCGTCTGACTGCACAGCAGTTGGTCGCTAAATTTAAAGCCTACACAGCCCGAAATAGCGCCCCCAGTCAACAACAACAAAAACC